GATTGTAGTTATTTTCTTTAAGGGGACTTTTGGCCCATTAGTCTATATTAAGTAGGTTTGACCTAATATTTAAAGTGTAATAGATGGCATTAGTGATACACGAACATTCAGAATTATCATTTTATTTCTTTCTTCCAGTCTAGTGGTTAAATTCTAGTTTTGATAGTAGCTGCAGAATCCACTTATCTAGCCATATTCCTAGAATTCCAAATGTTGTTTAGAAGAAAGATAACTGCTGCCAATAAATCATCCATAAATCATCCAAGGTGTTAGGCATAATATTTATTTATGTTGATGATTCTGCAGAGCCAATGTTAGAGACCTTTAACAAAGATGCAGTGAAAGAAGAGATGTCATGCGCTTTCTACATTACACTTGCAGGGGTTGCATATAGAGGCCATCGAGCAACCTGTAGCCATGATCATATCATTAGTAGGCATTTTGTTTATTAACCCAACTTGGTTCTACCAGGACATACATTTTTCGCAATCTGAATTAGAACTAGTTTCCATGCATTATGGATAAAAGGGCTTATAATTATTACTTAGTTGTTTACAAATATAACACCAATAGTCTTCTGTTCGCATCACTACGCCAAAAAAGACTTACGAAAGCGCTTTTTTTGGCCTTTAAAAGCGCTTAAAAGCGCTTTCTAAGGTTGCGCTGCTATAGGTTTTAGCAGCGCTTTTTATTTAATGAAAAGCGATCTCTTAAGTAGGCTTTTGGCAGCGCTTTTTTATGAAGAAGCGCTTTCATAGGTCTACCTAAGGCAGCGCTTTTTTCTGGAAAAGCGCTCTCATAAGTTTTCTTTTAGCAGCGCTTTTTTCTAGAAAAGCGCTGTCTTAGGTAGGATTTTAGCAACGCTTTTTTCTGGAAAAGCGCTTTCATAGGTGGTCTTTTAGCAGCGCTTTTGCCTGGAAAAGCGCTATCATATGTTTACATTAGATAGCGCTTTTTGTGAAAAAGCGCTTTCATAGGTTACCTAAGGCAGCGTTTTTGTTGAAAAAGCGCTTTCATAGGGTGTTTTTTTTAGAGGTATAATTTATATAATTCATATACCTGCATTGTTTGCAGCATATTATTTATATAAACCAGTTGCCATAACCTGTAATTCATAAACCGCGGTAATGCATTGTATACCATTGTAATCTAAAATATATATACAACATTTTTGTACCTCAAAATATATAAAAACAATTGTTATCAGCTTTGTAACTCAAAACCAGTCTTACAAAATCAACCCTAACAACAACTAAACCAGTCTTACAAAATCAACCCTATCAAATAGTATAAATATTATAAGCAAAATAGTGGAAATTAATATACCTGCACTTTGATCCAATTAATGTTGTTTAATTTAGACCGTCTTACCCGAGCTTCTCTTTGTCACCGGAATACTTGTATCGCTCTAACAAAATAAAAATATATATTTAGAACAATGTCACATAAATAATTAAATATATAAATACACACAAATATTTAGAATAATCTCACTTACGTATCAATCATTAACTTCATATCCGGATAATTTGTCCAATCACCGTCAACCGAATTCAGATAATAGACCACTTCTTTTATAGGATCGATAGCAACCAACAACCAGTGACGTCTATAAATTAAAACAACAGTTTAGAAGAAAATTTTCAACCAAAAATTACAAATATTAAAATGAACTTAGAATGAAAATCTAACCCTGTAGGAATAGTATTATACGCCCAAAGATATAAGCTTTATATACTGCCAGTTGCCATGAATCTTTCAACTAAGTGCTCTCTTACTGAATCTGATTCCCTACCAATTGTCGCTCCGCTGACACGGGAGGAAGATACGAAATGGAATCTGTTTGACAATTGATTCCTGCGCATCAATTTGTCATATGACAACCTTAAATAAAAACATAATTAATATTAGACTATATTCATTGAAATGTTTTAAAAAAATTTCAGCTAATTACATAATATAAAGATGGGGTTACCGGATGTATGCGTGCATAATACTGACGCCTAATTCTTTATGACAGAAAATCTCTTCCACGTCCTCATGTCCAATTATTTCGGTGCAAGGAAAACCAAAGATACCTTGATCCATATCCATTTGACGAATACCACCATCCATCAAATCTGTTGTTCCCACTATTGTTTCAAGACACTGCCGGTATCGAGGGAAAAATCTAGTAGGAACCCTTTTCTTAGGTGGTACGCCAACGATTTTCTGGCTCACTAGTTGTGACCCTTGAAAAGGTACCTAAAAATCATATAGACTCAGTTAAATTATAAAATTATGCAGTTTTTTATTCGGATCATATAATTAACACTTTAAACGTACCTCTTTTCTTGATACATCAAAGTATATATACAATACAACAATAATAACCAAGGGATATGCAATTTAAGAATTAAAGGCCAAAGGATTTTGAATAGAAAAAATCATGAATCCTTTTTTTTAAGGGCAGTAAGAATCTAATATAAAAATAAAAGTCTTCATAGTAACTACTAATTGTACTTCTATGCATCAGCAAGCAAGTGTACCATAAAAAAGGCTTTGTTGGATATAGGTCCACATTCAATGTAGTTTTGATTCCGTATACAACATGGAGAATAAGATCAATTAATTTCATGGGATAGAGATAGTTTGATAATTACATCAAGGAAATTTTATTTCACAATAATCCTTGTAATCTATTTTTGTAAAAATGAAACATTATGTCAGGTGCTGATCATAAAAGGAAAATTTAGAAAAATCAAGTTAAACAATACAGTACACACACAAATTTTCAATCGCGGGTTTAATGTTAACTTTAGTATGACTATCCAACAATATGTTACAAACATATTCTCACCTTAAATCGATTGATGTATATTCCAAGAGGTGAATCAAAGCAATTTGGATTATAAGCATTGAGGTATCCTTTGACATGTGTATGCTGAAAAAGAAGATAAGCATTGAGGAATCATTACGTTCATAAACTTAACAAAATCTACCATAAAATTGGCATCAACTGATACTTTTTTAGCCTCTTTGGATGTTCCACACAATCTAAATGCCACTTTTAAAGCCAACTCTTGAATTGAAACTCTCCCGTTTAAAACATAATATAGCAACCGATCCCCAAAAAATAACTTAGTAAAATACTTAAAAAATTAGATGAAGTAAAAAAACAAACTCTAAATATGCCTCAATACAATTTCTTTTGTTATTAAAGAATAGAGCCTTTTAGGAACTGGAAACAAAAGTGGCTACAAATCTCAACAGAAAAAGAAGACACACCCCTAAATTAAACTACCGAAATAATGTTTAAAATATCTATGAAAGTATCTAAACGTACATAAATACTATGTGCACTTTAAATATTCATACATCCTAAGCTATTCCATGGTAGATTATACCACAACATACAAACTTAACATTGCAATTCAAAACCAGTGGACCAAAAAATTCACAACTCAACGTACTAAATAGAAAAACAAGTTCAAAATCAATTGCCAAATATATATTGAGGATTTGATCTTAGGGTTTGTTAAATAAGATTATGTTTTCCTCAAATCGCAAGACCAAATGCTCAAAAGTTAGAGGAGCGATTTCAATCAAAATAGATAAAAGCAAAACCCTAACTTTACCTCCGGAAATTTGCTCGCACGTGCACAGGACTTTTGAGTTCCTAGCTTTCTCTTCCAATCCAATCATATATAGTATGTTAAGAAGGCTCCTTTTTGTGGAGACTAAGTGATGGCTCAAAAGTGATGGATCTGTAGATCGGAGAAGGAGAAGATAAGAAACAAAATGAACAAAGAAGAATATTGAGGCGAAAGAAGGGTTTTGGAGCGGAGAGAGAGATGAGGGACAAAGGATGAATGTAGGAAGGAAAAGAGTTACTGCTAATATCGTGAGTGGGAGACAAACGACAAAAATGAAACCTGATACGAATTGCAGTTGGCCGGAGAAGTGGAGCGTCGTTGACCGCCGTAGAAGCTCTGGTTTAGGGTTTTTTCGTGAAGAAAATCTGACTGAGAATAGAAAAGTGATATGAATTGTGTTTTGATATTTATTATAAAACTACCTACGAAAGCGCTTTTAAAAGCGCTTTCTAAAAGTCATCTATAACAGCGCTTTTACATCAAAAAGCGCCTTCGTAGCATATCCTATAGCAGTGCTTTTAAAAACAATTTCTAAAGGCCAGCTTTAGCAGCGCTTTAGAAAAGCGCTTTCTAAGGCCGGCCTTTAGCAGTGCTTTTGAAAAGCACTTTCTTAAGGTACCCTCTGAAAGGCCAGCTTTAGCAGCGCTTTCCAAAAAGCGCTTTCTAAGGGTGACCTTTAGAAGCGCTTTTGAAAAGCGCTTTCTTAAGGCACCCTTTGAAGCGCTTTTTTAAAACCTACAGCAACGCTTTTTTCCAAAAGCATTTTCTTTTATGTGCTGCTAAAACTTATTTTTGGCGTAGTGCATGAGACTAGTTTTGTATCTTACCGGATATAAATATGAACAATTTCATTGTATGTTCAATACCAATTTCATACTCAAAGGTTTTCTATGAAGGTTTATAATCTAGAATTGTAAATTATACAGACTAAAGTTTGTTCTTATAAATTAAAACCGATGTAAGAGTGTTTCTCCAATTACTGTGTCAATATTAGATTCAACCAAACACACATTTAATAAATATTTTACTCTGTTAATGGAATATGAAGTTAAACTAAAGTATTTGTTTCCTCTTACTAACCAAATTTTATATGTTTTTAATGTTGACAAGTATCTCATCAAATAGTTGATTATTTGAATAACTTACTATACATTAACCTTGAAAAATATCAATGAAAGGGATTTATAGTTAATGCACTCAATTGATCTAGAAATTTAGCAGTGCTGCTAGAGCTAGTTTCCAAGGGAGATGATATCTAAATCTAGTGTTCAATAAATTGGATTAAAAAATTGACATACTCCCACCAAAATAAAGACAAAGATTATTTTTAAAATAAGAAAAGAAAACAATAGTATTTTATACATTTCAATAAGCTAAAATTTCTAATCCAAATAGCACTCCAGCATGCTGAGTAGCCTCATTATTCATAAAATGAATCTCCATCATTTTCTGGAATGCATGCCAAGTTAACAAGCTATCCGATGCCGCTTGATGTGAATTTCCAACCACCCGCCTTACATTAAGGGTAGAAGCTACGGATTCGAGACCGCCGAACAAATAGTAGCAGTACTTCATCATGTGTTTCATGTCGTACACACTCTTTCCAAACAACCCTTCAACTAAATATAAAAAATCCTCCAAACTATTCGGTAAATTCTTTCGAGTCAAAACCTTCACCAAATATCCAAAATCATAGGCGCCGCAGAATGTGACCCAAACAACATCATTGTTAAAAACAAGTCCGGACCATAGCATTAGTTCAGCAAAACGCCCAGAATCCACACCATCACGGAAATTGCGATCAAAGTCAATTCCTTGACGACGGAGCATATCAATGGAAAGTTTATTACAAGGATCACTATTGACATTAAAATCAGAAAAATTAAATTGCCAGATGTAGCTGTTGTTGCTTCCAAAATCAGGAAGATTTCCACTAGAATCAGAGAGGGTGAGACCAATCTGAATGAGTTTAAGAGCGTCAACATTGGCCTTCAAGCAACTATAGACGATTTTGGGTGACGAATGAATTTCGCCAGGAAATTCTGTATCCATTGAGATGAAAGGATGTTGATGTATAACTTGTCGAATGAGATTGAATTCATCCTCTAAATTGTGTGCCCAAACATCACGAATAATGACTTGCTTCCAGTAGCTCATTTTCTGGTAATCTTGATGAATAGATTTTGAAGTTGAATTGAAACGAAGAACGAGAGAGAACTCGGCGGCAAGTGAATATCAGAATTGTGTGATGTTATGAGACGAGAAGAGCTTTGGTTGTTTTATATATGCTAAGTAAACCCTAAACACGGAAAAGATACAACTAAATTATTTATTGATACTATTTTTTATTAGGTTAGTTTTTCAAAAATATCTTAACAAAATATCTATTTGTTAGGATTTTGTTGAATATTTCAATAAATATTTCAAAAATTGTTTTAAGTTTCTAATATTAGGTTTTTTTTAAACAATAGTTTATTTGATTTTTTTAAACAAAAATAGATTTGATTTTATACTATTAAATATGAAGAAAAATATATTGAAAATTATAGTTTTCTTTATATATATATATATATATATATATATATATATATATATATATATATATATATATATATATATATATATATATAATCTTTCTAACTTTCAATATAGTTTGTTATCTCTTTAATTTTTAACTTAAATTCGAATTTATTTTTTATTATTTCACTAAGTTGTGATTTTAGTTATATTATTTTTTATTTATAAAACATATTTTTAAATTTCTACAAAATCTTTCCATAGTGATGATTTTTAAAATAAAAAAAAGTCACGTAATGATGTGATCCACAATGTATAGATAAATTAAAACTTTTTTATTTTATTTTTGACATGATTATAGAGTTTAAAGAAAAACATAAAACTAAAAATGTAAAATCCTAAAAGAATATAAAATTTATAATATTGTAAGTTTTACAAAGAGAATCTACTAAAATGAAACTAGGAAAATACAAGTGGTATCACAGTGTTACTGTTTGTTATAACTATTATTGTGACGTTAAATGTAAGTAAAATATGAATTAATTAAATAACATGAGGAATATAAGATTTATTTGTACGTTAGTATAGCTATGTGCCTCTCGGTGGCTGGGGGATTGAATCCACGTGACCAAGAAATAGCGAATGATAAGGAAAATCATGCGAACAATGTGAAGAAATCCGAAGAAAAGGAAGACACACAAAAAATAAATCAAAAACCCTCGAAAATCCGGAGGGGAGTAACGAAGGGAATAAACAATGGGTTGATGTCTTAAGCGGGAATCAAAGCTCTAACAATGGGATGACAATCGAATTTATCACACCAAAAGTCATAAACGGTGAGATTGAAGTGTAGATTGAGAAATTAAACATCAAAACTAAAGTGAAGTTTTGAGATTCAGTGTTGATCGTGTATGTCATTGGAGGTGAACTCAGTATGAATGGAGTGAAGCAATTCATGATGAAGTAGTGGAATTTAGTGAAACTACCTGATATATACTATAATGAAGAAGGGTATTTAATCTTATGTTTTCACTCATAATATGATGAAAGGGAATCTGTTCTTATGAAGGGGCCTTACACTCCTTACACTGTAAGGAATATGCCCATGTTGCTTCGTGAATGAAAACCTGATTTCAGACTCAAGGATGATATGTTGCGAACAATTCCAATTTGAGTCAAACTTCCCCAGCTTCTGTTACACCTGTGGAGACCAAAATCCTGAGTAAAATTGGCTGCGCACTGGGAACTCCGGTAGTTACTGACGAATGCATAACAAACAAATATATAATCTTTTTTGCCAAGATATTGGTGGATGTGGACATAAATCAAGAACCCGACAAAGAGATCACAATTAAAGATGCATAAGTGAGGAAAATGAAACAACTGAAAGAGTATGAATGAATGCCAAGATATTGCGAAAAATGCCAAAGAATTGGTCATAGTTGTGGTGAGAAAACCGTGAAACAATGGATGCCCAAACCTCCAGAAAGGAAGAGATAATACAACGTAAAAACTCGGGTAATATCACTCCTACACAACTTGTACAACCTACTCAAATTCTAACTGTTAATTCAAGTGGAAATGCTACCAAGGAAAATGAGGAATGAACGACAATTACAAAAGGAAGCAGGGATAGAGGGAAAGCACGAGTGAAAACATGAAGTATAGCTTGTGAAAATGACTTTGAGACACTAGGGGTGTGAAGAGCCATAGTGTTTCACAAGGATGTCCCATGACCTTAGCTTGAAATGTGAAGGGGCTCAATAAAATGGGGAAGGTAAAAGAGATAAGCTCCTGCCTCTTATGCATAAACCCTGATATTGTTATATTGGTTGAAACTAGGGTGAAGGAAAAGAAAGCTGCAGAGATTAGAAACAAATTGAAGCTATATAGAAACTACATCCACAATTATATAAAACATGTTAATCGAAGAATATGGGTCTACTGGAATCACAATAAAATTAAGGTTCAAGTGGTGAAGACAACTGATCAAATAGTTCATTGCATCATTTTTTACTGTAATGGCAAGTGGTTATATTAGATGACAATGATCTATGTGAAAAACCAATTGGAAAATAGGAAAATATTATGGAATCATCTTGCAGCAATTCACGAGAACCAACAAGGACTGTGGTTCTTGATTGGTGACTTTAATAATATGTTGAAGCACAATGATAGGGTAGGAGGTAGAAATGTGATTGAGGAAGAATTCACAGATTTATGCAAGTTAATGGATGTAGCAGGGCTGCACAAAATGAAAAGTAAAGGCCAACACTTCACATGGTCAAACAACCTAAGTGAAGGTGCCATCTATTCTAGGATAGACAGAATTTCAAGAGAAATCTCGCCCTTTCAGTTAGAGACATGTTCATTCTCTATGCAATACCATTTATTGTGATGTCTTATAAATTGAGAAATATATTTGAATAATGTGTTTTCACATAATCTCTTAGTAATATCGAATCGGTGTACTCTATCCCATTATATGACCATAAATACTTAAATTTTCTTCTTGTTTGATTCTCTACCTTTGATTTCTACAACTTGAGTTTGGTAAAGACTTCATATTTTTTACTCAATAAATACACCCAAATATTTCAAGAAAAATCATTTATAAAAGTCATAGAATACTTGAAACCACCCATGGAAACCTGTTTGATAGCCCCCCACACATCTAAATGAATAATGTCTAAAATGCCTTAATTTTGTGATTTCCGATCTTGAACCGAACACAACAATATTTTCCAAGTACACAATACTTGCCCAAATTTATCTTGCAACTAGAAACACCCTTCAATATATTTCTCTTACAAAGTTCCATCATCCCATGCTCATTGATATTACCCTGACATTGTTGGCTAGGATTTTTACAAAGGGGTCTAAATCCAACCAAAAGCAAAAAGGGTTCTTTGAAGATTTTTTATTATAGGAAGTCGACCACACAAGCTGTCGACCAAAAGAGGTTTCATAAAAGGCCAATTTGGGCTTGTAGACACGGTCGACCAGAAGAGAGGCCTCATGAGGAATGGATTGGGCTTAAGAGTGTTAAAAAGCCCAAAAGAGAGAATAACTAGCAAAATAAATCCTTGTGAATAGAGAACTTGGGTTCGATAGAAAGAATGGAGAAAGTGGGTTCATGAAGGGAAGTTACAATAGAGAACGTGGGTTCAATAGCAAGAATGGAGAACGTGGGTTCATGAAGGGAAGTTACTAGGGACATGTGTCTCATAAGGAAGCGAAACCCTTCAAAAAGTAGTTATTTTCATGTATTATAAATAAAGCACTTAGTGCATAATGTAAGGGATTCAAACTTTTACATTCCTACACGCTAGTCACTCAGAGTACCCAAGCGAACGAGCAAAATGAGTCAGGCATAGGAAATATATGTTTGAATTAACCTATTTTCAATTGTTTTGATGTTATATCATCTATTTTTACCGTTTAAAACGTCTTTGTTTTATTTTGCCTTTCCTGCTTTATTGCTTTTAGGTCCGTTTCGCCTTAGTCGAACATACCCTTTTGAACACACTTTGTAAAAACACTTGAGAACTGAGGCACTGTACTGAGATTCCCTGGTCGATCTCGCCAGTAAACTCTCTGTTAAGAGACCAACATTGTTTACGAAAACCAGAGGTAAACAAACATATATTCCATAATGGTTGAATCATTATCTGACTCAAATAATGTGCCATCATCTACAAGAGTGTTCCTCAATAGTTTATAGATGTTACCTGTAATACTCATTTCTCTCATCAAAGTCAATGCACCACTGATAACCTTCATAATTTCCCTTCTCCATCATATGTGTAGGAGAAACCATTCTCTTATAGAGTACATGGGTAAATCAAGTTCTTCCTTAACTTTGAAATATATTTTACATCATTTAATCTTTGCACGCCACCATCGTCCATGAAAATTTTAATCTGTCTCATTCCAATGATATTACATGCTTTATCATCATGTAGATAGACAAATCTACAATTACCTGAACAGAATGTAGTGAGTTATTCCTGGTGTGTCGTCAAGTGGTAAGAACAACTAGAGTCAAGAATCGACACATTTGTGCACTTACTGGTGTTACCTGGAAAATTCGACGCTCCAGGTTTCATGAAAATATTAAGGTTTTTAAAGAAGAATCAAGAGTATAAGAAAGATGCTTCGACGGAAGCATATAATGGTCTTTTTGACCAGACTTTCACTTAAATAAGATGACTTTGAAAACCTCACATTCAAAAGATATTTGGGGCGGGTTCGACGAAGAAATTTGAAGTAAGGATGAACATTCAAATTTTGGCGCTTACTTGTTTCTTTTGAAAAGAGACATGTGGAGGCCTTTGAAGGATCGAAGAGCATGCAAGCGAGAACGTGACATCTTATGATAAGAAGACCGTTCGTGTAGATTTAGTATAAATAGGAGTCTCTAGTTTAGACTTTTGTGTGTTCAATTGTTGTACAAATTACTCTATTTACTCAAAGTATCAAAGTTAATCAAGAAATGAGTTCTGAGCAATGTAAGTATGAAACACCACATTAATTTTCAGTATTTGTTTACTTCTATTCGAGTCATTTTAATTTCTTTAAAGATTCAGTCAAAACTCTTTTACATTCCTGTTATTTTTATAAATCGTTTTATCATTTCC